TGGATGCTGTTCTGTGCCATGAGGATTGTTTGGAAACCAAGATGTGAGCACTATTTTTTCTAAATCATGAAAATATGCTTTTGATTTGAAACAGCTGGATTCCTTGGGTTACTGCATTTCCACAAAAAGGTGTCCAAATGGTTCCAAGGATGATTCAAGTGGGTGCTTGAGTGGCACACTCCCCACATAGCTAAAGATGTTCAGAGCTTGTTAGGCTTTGCAGACTTTATTCTATGTGCCATCCATAAAGTTAAATACTGTACTTACCCAGTTGTTAAAGAAAGGAGTTAAATTTGTTTGGACAGAAATCCAGCAAGCAGCACATGAAAAGTAAAATATCTTTCTCCATGCCAATATTTTCTTCAATATCCCAGGGGAAGACTATTTTTTGTTTGTCTTTTTTTGTTTTTCACATTTCTAAACCTCCCATTTTTTTTAGAAAGCATGCTATAGTCTGTAGAGATTGACACAGATCAAAAAACTAGAAATGTTGCAGCAACAAACCAAGCCGCTCTTTCCACAGGCAAGTAAGGTAAAGCAATTTTTTCTCCTAGTTTGATTATATATACAGTATGTCCCTGGCTTAAAGAACCTGATGCCAGCCGTGCTGTCCTGTAAACCAAAATTCTCTCAAATACCCCATGCAGCTATAACTATACATCTGGGATATTAGGAGCAACTCAATCATACCAGGACTTAATCACCAGAATCCAGGCACAGCAATTCTAGATCAATTCTCACCAGTCCTGGTGAATGCCCTCCAAGAAGTCCACCTGGTATTGTATCCCCATTTGTACTGGAGGGAGGACTTTTGAATTTTTTTTTGAAAAAGAACCTTTCACCTTTGAGAGAAAGGTTTTGTAGCTTTATACTACAATACCTGATACAGTTCTGGGTGCAGCTGATACAATTCTACAGAGGAATTATTGAGTCTGTGATCTGTACCTTTGTAACTGTCTGGTTTGGTTCTGCAACCCAACAAGACAGACAATAGGGTACAATAAGCAATCAAATCATACTAGGAAACAGTCAATATAAATCATAAGGATACAAGTGACAAAGTTACAGTCATACAATCACAAGTGGGAAGGGATGGGTGATAAGGAGTGATGAGAAGAGTAATAGTAATGCAGACTTTGTAAATACACTGCTCAAAAAAAATAAAGGGAACACTTAAATCACACTTCTGTGAAATCAAACTGTCCTCTTAGAGAGCAACACTGATTAACAATCAATTTCACATGCTGTTGTGCAAATGGAATAGACAAGAGGTGGAAAGCATAGGCAGTTAGCAAGACATCCCCAATGAAGGAGTGGTTCTGCAGATGGTGACCACAGACCACTTCTCAGTTCCTATGCTTTCTGGCTGATGGTTGGTCACTTTTGAATGCTGGCAGTGCTTTCACTCTAGTGGTAGCATGAGACGGAGTCTACAATCCACACAAGTGGCTCAGGTAGTGCAGCTCATTCAGAATGGCACATCAATGCGAGCTGTGGCAAGAAGGTTTGCTGTCAGCGTAGTGTCCAGAGCATGGAGGCGCTACCAGGAGACAGGCCAATATATCAGGAGACGTGGAGGAGGCCATAGGAGGGCAACAACCCAGCATCAGGACTGCTACCTCCGCCTTTGTGCAAGGAGGGACAGGAGGAGCACTGCCAGAGCCCTGCAAAATGACCTCCAGAAAGCCACAAATGTGCATGTGGCTGCTCAAACGATCAGAAACAGACTCCATGAGGGCCCGGCATCCACAGGTGGGGGTTGTGCTTACAGCCCAACACCGTGCAGGACGTTTGGCATTTGCCAGAGAACACCAAAATTGGCAAATTCGCCACTGGCGCCCTTTGCTCTTCACAGGTGAAAGCAGGTTCACACTGAGCACATGTGACAGATGTGACAGGGTCTGGAGACGCCATGGAGAACGTTCTGCTGCCTGCAACATCCTCCAGCATGACCGGTTTGGCAGTAAGTCAGTAATGGTGTGGAGTGGTATTTCTTTAGGGGGCCGCACAGCCCTCCATGTGCTCGCCAGACGTAGCCTGACCACCATTAAGTACCTCAGACCCCTTGTGAGACCATATGCTGGTGCGGTTGGCCCTGGGTTCCTCCTAATGCAAGACAATGCTAGACCTCATGTGGCTGGAGTGTGTCAGCAGTTCCTGCAAGACGAAGGCATTGATGCTAGGGACTGGCCCGCCCGTTCCCCAGACCTGAATCCAATTGAGCACATCTGGGACATCATGTCTCACTCCATCCACCAACACCATGTTGTACCACAGACTGTCCAGGAGTCGGGGGATGCTTTAGTCCAGGTGTGGGAGGAGATCCCTCAGGAGACCATCCTCCATCTCATCAGGAGCATGCCCAGGCATTGTAGGGAGGTCATACAGGCATGTGGGGGCCACACACACTACTGAGCCTCATTTTGACTTATTTTAAGGACATTACATCAAAGTTGGATCAGCCTATAGTGTTTTTTTTTTTCACTTTAATTTTGAGTGTAACTCCAAATCCAGACCTCCATGGGCTGCTAAATTTGATTTCCATTGATAATTTTTGTGTGATTTTGTTGTCAGCACATTCAACTATGTAATGAACAAAGTATTTAATAAGAATATTTCATTTATTCAGATCTAGGATGTCTTATTTTTGTGTTCCCTTTATTTTTTTGAGCAGTGTAGTTGGATAGTGCTGAGGGAATTATTTGTTTAGCAATTATGGTGCACCCTCAGAGAGTAATTAGGACTGCAGAAAAAACAATTACTACCAACCTGCTTTCCATTGAGGACCTGCATACTGCACGAGTCAAAAAGAGGGCTGTGAAAATATTCACAGACTCCTCACATCCTGGATGTAAACTGTTTCAACTTCTACCCTCAAAACAACAACTGCACACTAGAACAACTAGACCCAAGGACAGTTTTTTCCCCAAACACCATAATTGCTAAACAAATAGTTCCCTCAGCACTAATCCAACTATTTACAAAGTCTACATTACTATTACTCTTCTCATCACTCCTTATCACCCATCCCCTCCCACTTGTGACTGTATGACTGTAACTTTGTCACTTGTATCCTTATGATTTATATTGACTGTTTCCAAGTATGATTTGATTGCTTATTGTACCCTATGACTATCATTAAATGTTGTACCTGATGATTCTTGACTCTTGACGAATGTATCTTTTCTTTTATGTACACTGAGAGCATTTGCACCAAGACAAATTCCTTGTGTGTCCAATCACACTTGGCCAATAAAGAATTATATTCTATTCTATAACCAGATAGTGGGAGAAAGTGGTATATTCAAAATGCTGCATAGAACATTAAAAGACTTCTGGAGTCCTAAAATGACAATGGACATCAAGTGCTACATGGCATCTTGCCACATCTGCAGAAAGGCTTGATTCCACCCAACAGAAACTAATAGTGTTGTTACAAATACATCCCCTGTGCCATATTATTCATGGCATACAATCTCTCTGGATTTTATTACTGATTTATCCTCAGTCAGTGACTAAACATCCATATTAGTTGCAGTGGATCCTCTTTACTAAGATGGCTCACTTCATCCCTTGCAAGAGATGGAAACTGAACAAGGAGAGATTTAACCTGGAAATAAGGAGAAACTTTCTGACAGTTAGAACAATCAACCAATGGAAGAGCTTGCCCTCGGAAGCTGTGGGAGCGCCATCAGTTGAGACTTTCAAGAAGAGATTGGACGGCCATTTGTCAGAAATGGTGTAGGGTCTCCCGCTTGGGTGAGGGGGGTTGGACTAGATGACCTACAAGGTCCCTTCCAACTCTGATTATGTTAAATCTGTTTTGGTCAAATTATTTTGGCCCATGGTTTTCACTATAGAGACATGTTATCTAAACTAATTTTTGATAGGGGTAAATTTGCTTCCAGATTTTGAATGGTACTGTTCCAATTTTTGAATGTTCAGGTAAGCTTTTCTTCACCCCAACACAATCCAATAATGAGATAGAGAAGACTAACCAAATGCTGTAACAAATTCCTTAAGATATTTCTATACCTATTGCAAAGATACCTGGTCATTATTGTTGCCCTTGGCAGAATTTTCATATAACCACATTGATTACACATCACAAAACTGAAGAATTTTTATCAGAGAACCCTTGATTAGATTCCTGTCCATAGGCATGAACAATAAATGAATTTAACTGGAAATTTACATGTGACCCTGGCATGGGCCTGACAGTTATCTCTTTATCACTTTAATATTTATTAAAGAAGAAATTCTTTTTCTCTAGTATGAATTTGGCTCCTGCTGATTATGAGGCTTTCCATTACTTTCAGGTTGTTATTTTTTAAATACTCAAGCTAGTTTACAGCTCTGAATTCTTGAGTTTCCAACTGAATACTAACTAGCTCTAACTCTTTCAAGCCTTTCCCTGATATGAGCCAATGTTATAACAGTTTATTCCATCTGTTATGATACAAGGGATTATTAGATTAATAGATTTGAAAAGATCTTGTTCTTAATAAGCATCATCGCTGGTCTTACTTTTTTTTAAGACAGCCACACTTTTTAAAAATTCAGATCAAATCAAGCCCTTTTTGTGGTCAAAGACCAGCATAAGACGGGTGGAATACAAGAAACTAAAATAAAATTATATATAAAAAGCTAACTTCTAAAAAGGATCTTCTTAAAGACTGAGTGTAAAAGGATGGTTGGAGCAACTGATGTGCATAGTGGGACATGGCAAGATATTTTCCTTGCTAATGTTTGTTCTATAAGGATGAAAATACTCTCAAATAACCGGATACAGAAACAGGACTGCGCACGCGGAGAAAGGGAGAGATTAGAAACAGGTAGCCACACCCACATGCGACTTCTCCAGCTTCCGCGGGTGCTGAATAGGAAAGCGCATTTCCACTCAAAGAGCGCATGATCTCCTGAGCCAAAGACGGGCAAAACTTCGTGTTGGTACAGAGTGCCTGCGCGAAGCTTCTGCACATGCGTGTAGTAAAATCACCCAGCGGAAGCGGCCTGAGCGGGGTTTGGAGAGATGAGAACTGCATCCGGGGCACGATTTCGCCTATTGTCTGGGTTACGGAATTGGCCTAGGGGATCGCGCAGCCTCCCATTGAGCCCTAGCGCGATTGCGGTCTGAGGGGGGCGAAGCTCCCTGACGGGTACAGGCGGTTTTCTGCATGCCCGGGAGCAGCTGCTCGGATTCAGTGAGTAAGTCCAGCAGCAACCCTGCAGCGGCGACTCTTTATTCGCTCCCCTTCGCCCGAAAGAGCCGCCGTCCCTTCGTTGCTCTTGAAGCTCAGCCTTGCCATAACTGGCAGCAAAAGCGTCTCTCCCGCCGTTGATGCCCGCATCTATTTGGCATTTTCTTTCCGTACCGCATTAACTCCGGTAGTAGATCGCGGGCATCCCTTTTCCTTGTGCCCGTCATATGGGGGGCACTTTTATTGCGGTTTTGCCCCCACCCCCGCCCTAACATGCTTTCCCCAAAGGGACGAAGCCTTTCCTTCTACCCACTTTTTCCAGAGCATAAATTGCATTGCTTTAATGGATCTGGAGGATTTTCCCCCCCATGTTGTTTGTTCCCCGCTCCCCTTTAAAATAGCCCCCAATGATCACCCCCTCCAACCTCCCCAAAAAACCGTGCGTCTCTCCTTCTCTTTTTCTTCTTTTCTGCAGTGGATCGTAGCTCGAAGAGGCGGCAGGTGAAGCCTTTGGCAGCTTCCCTGCTGGAAGCTTTAGATTATGACAGTTCAGATGACAGTGACTTTAAGGTTGGAGATGCTTCAGGTAAATAAATGCTTCTCCTTCTCGTGTTTTAAAATAGTTTTAAATTGATTCTCACCCAATCAGTTTGCTTTTTTTTCTTTTTAAAATGTCTTTTTTTAATGTGCCTTAACTATTCCTGGGGAAGGGGGTCATGGTATCTAGATAATGCATAAAACTGTGGGTTCACACATGGCCCTGAATTATAATGTGCCTTGTTTGGTTTGGATTTAGCAGACTATGGCAACCAAGCCAGTTACAATTTATTCAGTAAATCATAGCTGAGTGCTGACTGGATTTACACATTGTACTGAGTCAGGACATTCAATAATGATTTGATGAATATGGCACTCTAGGTTCATATATGTACAATTTATAAATCAGGGTGACTGAGTTTATGTCATAGATTGAATCAAACCAAATAGGTCACAGTGAATGAATACAGAATAACTATCAAGGAATATGAAAATGACTATTGAAATAGGAAAGCAGTTCTGACACTTATGAAATTTGAGAATTGAGGCAAGTCAATTAATAAGACATAGAGAGAGCATCATGCTTTTATCTGTCTCCTTTATATATTAAAATATGAGATGTAGGAACCCTATTTTTCTTGCTATCAGTCTTTTTACAATGCTTTTCTAGCCCAATCCCTTTTCTTTTTCCTTTTTTTGACCTGTCTGGTTTCTTCTGCATCTTCTGCATCAGTTTCCATGATTACTCTTACTCTGTCAGAATATACCTGATATGTTCAACACATGAGCATTCTGGGTAATTTTCTCTTCTCAGTGATGCAGCTTTCATGATATTGGTTCCCTCCTTAATTTCATATACAGATACTCCTCGACTTAACGACTACAATTGAGCCCAAAATTTCTATTGCTAAATGAAACATTTAAATAATTTTTCTCCATTTTCTTGTCACAGATGTTGAGTGAATCACTACAGTTGTTAAGTTACTAACACAGTGGTTAAGTGAATCTGATTTCACCATTGACTTTGCTTGTCAGAAGGTTACAAAAGATGATTACATGACACTTGTCATGTGTGACACTGCAACTGTCATAAATATGAGTCAGTTTGAATTTTGATCATGTGACCATGGGGATGCTGTAATGATTGTAAGCATGAAAAATGGTCATAAGTCAGTTTTTTCAATGATGTTATAACTTCAAACGGTCACTAAATGAACTGTTGTAAGTCAAGGACTATATGTATAGTGCAGGAATTAAGGTGGAACTGTTATCCAGATTGCTTCATATTGCATAATAATGTAATAATGAAAATAACCCTTATTTTAATCTCAGCCATTTTCTTCCTTGAATAATTGATATTAGCCAATTTCTATTATATCCTCTAGTAGTCCAGTAAAAGATTTACATAATTTGATATTAAGACTATTTTTATCTAGAGACTTCAGAACTTTCTATCAATCTAGCCTTTTATTTTAAAAATATTTAGTTTAAATCTAAAAAAAAAAAAACAAGAAGGCAAGAAAAAATTTCTGATGGGAATATGCACATGGGCATACCTTGAAGTAATGGCATATAGAGTTATATATTGTGTATAGACCTCCAACTGAAGAATCCCAAAATCGAGTTGAACTAGAATTAAACATGAGAAATGAAATTTGGACTCTATATAATAATTGCTTTGCCTTGCACAGGTTAATATATCTTGTAAGTGCAGATTTGAATATACACTATGAATCACTTAAGAATTATTCACTGCACTTTATGTATAAATGTATACAAGGAAATATTTCCAACCATTTTTATAGTTGGTAATGGAACAACAGATTGCTCAAAATAATATTGTTGAATCCAATAAGCTTTTTATTGATCATTGGACAATTACAAAATCATTATAGTATGACAAATATAGGTAATTTAAAAATCACTGCAACTTTAGAAAATATAGTCTATTAATCAATTAACATAAATTTGGATTAGTTCTATGTGAAGTAGATATTTTGTTTATGTGTAATGTTATGAGCTTATATGTTTTTGAGTAGAAGTCACTATGATCATGTCACATTAAATAGGTTCTATTTATTATTTCTGTTAACATGGCAAACTTCATGTCATTATCATTAGTGAACAGTAGGAGTATAACCAAGGTAAGTAGGGTCAAAGAAACTGGGAGTTACAGTGTTGAATTACATTTTCAGCACACCATTTATTGAGTGCATTAGTATGGATGCTGGGTATTCTAGTTCTCTGGCATTTATAGGGGTAACGTTTTCTCATCTCTGATATGTAACATATAACAGCTGTAAAATTTATCAAAGTATGCTATATATCATTAAGCTAATTTAAATTTGATCAATATCTTGGTAAATAGTGTTTTTTCATGTTAGCATAAAGAAATAATTTCTAATTTTCTAATTTGAAATAGTTTGGTGACTGCATTCAAATTGATCGATCAGTACCATGACAATATTCAAATTATTTATAAATGAAAATTTATAAAATATTAATTTGATAATTCTTTTTTGTTGGGGTGAATCAAAGTTCATTTAGGCTATAACAAATCTAAATAGTGGCTATGTACCTTATATACATTTGTCATATATTTGGATTATGGAATGTAAGTTTTATCCTTTACATCAGATTTCTCCAAGTTGACATCCTCTGTATGTATTGTGACTGTGACTCTCAGAATTTATGACCAGTGTTAGAAACATGGTACTGCTCTAGGAAGTTTCTATCAAATATAATCTTAGGGGCATTCTGAGAATTATAATGATAGTACATTTAGGGGATGTCAGGCTTTATAGATAGATATACCATTGAATCAGTGCTATTATCTAATACATCTCCCAGATATCCTCCCCCAATAGGTAAAAACATTTTTATTGCCTAAAGTATAAATATTATTTTTATAAACACAAGAAGAATTGGAATATTGTCTGTATGACATTCAGATTGTTTACCACATTATTAATTTCATAAAAGTCATACTAGGTAAGCAGCTGAATTAGGAACTACTTAAATAGCTATTTATATATTTGGATATCTGTACATGATAAGCTATTGATTTTAAGGAAAATGCCTTGGGAGAAATCTATCCCATTGGAATATACATTTTCACTTAGGCAAGCCCATTTAAAGCTTATTCTATATCATATATGTAATATCAGAATTAATACAAGATATACACAATCATCCTTTATATCTTCACCGGTAAACACTGTAGCACTGCAACAATTTTATATTTGAAATTACTTTTTCAGTGCAACAGTTAAAAAGAAAATTATACACATGTCATATCACATGGCAGCTTTCCTATTCAGATGTTTTCTTAAGCCAAATGTCCATGATACTCTGATAAGATTCAAGTGGAGGTCACAAAGTTAGAAAAGGCAGTTATATTTTCATACATCTGTCAACAGATATGAAGTCTAAAATTCTTAATCTTGAAACTTGCTGCCTGACTTTGTATAAATCATTGCTAATTTAGTCTGTAACATTTTTGTGAGGTAAATCGCTAAACAATGCAACATTTTAATTTAAATTCTTGAAACCTGATGAGGACTTTTCCAACCTTGTGAACCCCAAATGCATTGGATTACAACTCCCAGAATTCAGTCTTAGAAGTCCTGGTTAGAAATTATAGGAATGCTAGTTAGAGATATTTGGAGATAACAGGTTAAAGTGGGTAAAAAACCTCCACTTCTCTTGTTTTTTTTAATACTTGACTAATCTACATTAGGTTTATTAAATGCTGTTATTTGAGTATGACTTTGTATTTTTTATAAAATGACTGAAATGTAGCATTCCTTTTTTCCCAAAGTTAGTTTGGACTGTCATTTTAATATGAACAAATAATGGTTATTGCAGATTGCCAGTGTTGATACATAACAATGTTAAAACTCATTCATCATTTTCAGTTCTTCAAAATTCTGAAGTTTATACCGTATATACTCGAGTATAAGCCGAGTTTTTCAGCCCATTTTTTTGTGCTGAAAAAATCCCCCTCGGCTTATACTCGAGTCAGATTCCCCTCTGAAAAAAAAAATGGTGTGGAGCTCCGGAGCTGGGCAGGCGCTTCCCTGCTTCCGTGTTTCCTTTGCAACTTTTAAGCATGGGGGTAATCGGAAGCAGAAAAGTTCTTGCATGAGGATATATTTGTTCTTTTTTTAACTGTTTTTAGGGGGGGGGAAAGACCCACCGTCATGTGAGAATGCTCAGACACGAAATCTATCCGCCCGAAAATAAGTGTGTGTGTGTGTGTGGGGGGATTTTAACAGAGGAAAGATGTAGGGAGAAGGCAAAAGCGACGGAAGATCCTTCAGGGGAAACTGAGGGGGAGACTCACCCTTGGTCCAGATGAGCCCCCTTCCCCGCCCCTAAGGAAGCAGAGGCAGCCAGTAAGGGCAGGCAAGCCACACTTCACAGACTCTGTCCGTCCTCACTCCCACCCAAAGCCACGAAGTCCCCCAATCGCGCAGCCCAGAATCGCCCTCCCCTCAGGGGGCAGCAACGACGGCCGGTTTTTCCCGAGACAAGAAGCTCTGCCGTGCAATGAAAGCGCCCTGGCTCTAGGCTCGCGGGCTCAGAAAACAACGTGAGCCGAGGTCGCTTCAGCTCCGCTCGGCTTCTCCAACATCCGGCACCGCCCTGTTCTATGTGCCGGGCCCGGCAAGTCCGAGCAGCCAGCACGTGGAGCAGGACGGCGCCGGACATCGTTGGCTGCCTCTTTCGCAGCACGGAAGGCCTCCCCCGGCTGGCCAGCTGCTCTCCTCCTTCTCTGCCTGTTTGTTCTGTGTGACCAAGGAGGAGGAGACCGGCCGGCTGGTTGGGGGAGGCTTTCTGCGCCGAGGGAGGCGGCTGCTGCTGTCCGGCTTTGCTCCGCTTCTCCGATGGTCTGGCGCGGCCCTGTTCTTTACTTGGGCAGCCGGGCGCCCGCAATGGCGCCCACGGCGGCAACAGGCAGTTCCGCCCGGGCTCTGCTCAGGTGTCCGGCTGGGGCTGTTGGGAGTTGCTGCCGCTGGTGCGGCCCCAGTCCCGCGTCGCCTCGGGAAGGGAAAGGCAAAGCGCTTTTTGCCTTTCCCTTCCCGGCTGGGGCTGTTGGGAGTCGCTGCCGCCGGCGCGGCCCCAGTCCCGCGTCGCCTCGGGAAGGGAAAGGCAAAGCACTTTTTGCCTTTCCCTTCCC